CGGGGGGGGTGGGAAGTATGTTTGTTATTTCTGGTGTAAGCGACCCAGGTAACAATGAAGTACTGTGTGAACTCAGTTGTAATGAGCTCCCAAGTGAAAGATTTTTCTCCAGCTTAGCAGACTAATTGCTGTACTTCTCTCATTCCTCTGTCCAGAGCTCAGTGGTTACCAGTGAAAGTTGTTTGGTTTGCTCCATTTAAGGTTTGAAACAAGCACGTTACTGCCTTGGAAAAACTGATGAAAACAAAGTCTTTGCAGTATGTCCATATGATCAAGATGATCATCTTTGGATGATTTTTTTTTTTTTTTTTCTAATTTGAAGAACCAAGAACTAATTAAATGTCAGAAGTGGAGCTGAGTTTTAGTTAATGTGACTCAAGGCCTTGGAACATACATCCTTCTTACGCTTCAAATGAAAATGTTACGCTAAGCAAGTGGGGCTGTTAAACCCTCAAATGGGGGCGGGCGAGCAGGCTGATGAAGGAAAGAGAAGGTAAAGCCTCGCATGAGACAACGTGAGTAAAACACAGACTTTTATTCATGGCTACCAAAACCCTGACTAAGACTGTTTGTAGGCCCCCCGCCCCACGTTTTCATGCGCTCTCTTATTTATTTCTGCATGGGCTCACAGTTTGCCTGAGAGCCAGCCAGCCAGTGGGTCTGCCTGTTCCTGTGGGAATAGGTCACAGCATCCCTGCATCTGCTTCTTTTAAAGATTAAGAGCAGTTCATTCTGAGGACGGTATTTTAATCCTTCCAGCTTCTGTCATCTGTCGTGCGCAAGACTGCGTCACAGCCCTCAACTTCCCCGAACGTGCCAGGAGCCCCCTGGCAGTACCTGAAATGTGCCATGGGAGCAGGTACCACTGCAGGTCTCTTCCTCTCCAGGCTGGACCACAGCTCCAAAAATGCCCAGCCTGTATATATTGTGGTGATCTCTTGAACAGAACCAAAGATTTCCCCCTCCCTGTCTTCATGCTCTGAAGAGAATGAAACATATGCTTTGCTTATTTTTTTTTAAACTCCTTGTTTATTTTGTCAAATGCTGTTACAAAGAGCAGCAGATGCGGTCTCAGCCAACGTGGCTTCCTTTCCCGGACAACAGATCCTCGTCTCTCCTGTTGATGGTAAGTGGCTCGTGATCAGCGCTGGTGGTCACGGTGTGCATTTACCCATGCGACGTCTTGGCCTTCAAGCCTGCATATACATGCATGACGGGTTTTCAGAGTTCACACACAAGCTTTACAACTCTAGCTGATTATTTGTGCTTTCCATCATCCAGCTCGGAGTTCTTACCACCTTTACCTCTGCTGGGTGGCCAAACCCAGTGAGAGATCTTTCTCCACCACCTCATCACTGTGGCACTTTGCATGGGATGGGGTGAGAGATCCCACCCAGCCTGTTTGCCCATGGCTCCTCCTTCTGAGCAAATTCACAGCCAGGGTGCCCACAATTCCCACCAACAGAACCTTTAGGATAGGTTACTTAAGCAGTTAAAGGGAAACTAACATCCCTTTCCTTGTCAGGAAACACTCAGGCTCTGGATGAGATAGTAGCAACATCGCTGAAGATGTAAAGCCAATAATTCATTTATTGGGCAGCAACATTGTCACAAATAGCTGTTGGCAGGAGCCCTTCACAGAGCAAACATAGAGGAAAAAAATTTTTGACCACCTGTTCCTCAAAATAGAGGGGACGATACTCTGTTCAGACCCCACAAAGAAATCTGGAACTACCAGTGGTTACCAAATGCTGTGTTTTACCCAACATTTAAAGCCCTCGAGGGTCACCCTGAGGCAGCACTGGGA